AACATTACATAAAGTATATTCATTTGCTTCAAATTAAAATTGGCTAATGGGTTTTAAAAATGATTTGGGCTTTAAAATTAAAATTATGAAATAATCTGATTTATTTAGTTAATTTGCTAATTTATTTAGAAAAAAAATAAAATAATTTAATTAATTTAATATAAAAAATTATCTAGTTTCGGTTCTTGGTCTAGACCCGGAATCCGATCCAAACTTATCGGTTCTCGATTCGGGTACCCGTTTGGGTATTTAACTTATGAATAACCACTCGATTCAGTTCGAGATTTTTGGACACCCCTAAATATATAGGAATAAATAGCAAAGTTAACATTTTACATTTTTTTAAATTTGGTCAAAATCAAATTGTGTAGTCAACTGAAGGTCAAATGGATCCATCCATTTGGACTCAGGTGTATATTTTGAAAAGTTTGGGCACAAAGTGAAAATTAAAGTAAAATCTGCAATAAAGTAAAAAGTTAGGGACCGTTTCTATAAGAGTAAGAAGGTTGGTTCATGTATTCAGGAAGCAAGTAAGAGAATTTGGCAAGTTTTTCTCATTTAGCTTCTTATGGGGTTTCTTCCAATGGTTCTTCACGGCTGAAGATGATTGTGGCTTCTCAAACTTCCCAACATTTGGATTAAAAGCATATAAATACACGTAAGCCTAATTTTTTTTTTTTATTTGACAATTGGTCTCTAATTTTTCATTTCAACAAACCAGAAGATGTTTCCTGCTCATAGCAGAACGTTAAATTGGAACACTAGCATGTGACTGAGCATCATCTAACCGATATACAATCTGTTTCTTTGACTGCTTTTCCATTTAAGACGTAATCTCAATCATCAGACGTAGAATCAATTTCTGTTAAGATATATCCATGTCTGCATATAGTACTAAGGTTATCATCAAACTATGTCGTCTTATATTTCACTTAAAACCTTGTTTTGGAAGCTTCAGGTTTTTCTTCGATTTCTCAGCAACTAATGTTGGAGTAGGGATGATCTGTCCTCATATCGTAAATATATCTTTTCTTCTTGGAGGAATTCTTTCTTGCGGAATTTTGTGGCCTATCATTGAAACTAGAAAGGGGGATTGGTACTCTGCAGATCTCGAGCCACGTAGTTTGCGAGGACTTTATGGTTATAAGGTGAATTCCTAATCCATCATAGTTTTTCCCAATGCTGCCAAATATTAATTTGCTTTTTCACTGTACTCTTCACTAAAACAAAATGTCTACTAAAACGACATCAGGTATTCATTGGCATTTCCATGTTACTCGGTGATGGCCTATACAACTTTTTCAAGGTTCTAAGCCGAACTCTAGCTGATTTGTTTTACAAAATTCTATCCAGAAATGCAAATGTGCAAATCTCGGTTGTAGAAAATTCCTCTCCTGTCCTAAGATCACTCTCTTATGATGACCAACGTCGTACTGAAGTCTTTCTTAAGGATCAAATCCCAACATGGTTTGCCATTGGAGGCTATTTCGCCCTTGCTGCAGTCTCTACTGCAGTCCTTCCTCACATCTTCCACCAGCTCAAGTGGTACTACATAATTGTTTTATACATCTTTGCACCAAGCTTGGCCTTCTGTAACGCATATGGGTCTGGGCTCACCGATTGCTCATTCCCAAGTAATTACGGAAAACTAGCCATCTTTACAATTGGGGCATGGACGGGGGCATCACATGGTGGAATCCTTGCTGGTATAGCAGCAAGTGGAGTGTTGCTGAATATAGCTTCCACTGCCTCGGACCTCATGCAAGATTTCAAGACCGGCTACCTGACCTTGGCTTCGCCTTGTTCAATGTTTGTCAGCCAAGTGATTGGGACTGCAATGGGATGTGTTATTTCTCCTTGTGTCTTTTGGATTTTCTACAAAGCTTTTGCTGATCTCGGGCTTCCTGCAAGTGAATATCCTGTTCCCTCCGCTACAGCGTACTATAATATGGCTAAACTAGGGGTTGAAGGCTTCTCGGCTCTGCCAAAAGGTTGCCTAAAGCTATGTTACGGATTTTTTGCTGCGTCCATTCTCATCAACTTAACCAGAGATGCTTTGGGCAAGAAACGTTCGTGGTTTATTCCAATTCCAATGGCAATGGCAGTGCCATTTTTTCTGGGTTCACAGATTGCGGTTGATATGTGTGTTGGAAGCCTCATACTTTACGTATGGCAAAAGAAAAATAAAGCCAATGCTGATGCCTTTGGGCCTGCCGTTGCTTCTGGTTTGATTTGTGGTGAAGGGAACACCTGAAACGGACTTACATATGACGCTCTAGTCGGGGTGAAACCTCCAATTTGCATGAAGTTCCTGTCTAGGGCTGCTAATAGTCCAGGTACTTAGAATCCTAGATAGGCCAGGGGATATATGCCAAAAAGTATCACCTTCTGAAAAGGATTATCGTGTATGGACACATAAGTGAATAAATTTATGTTTCTAAGATATGGATGCATCTCAACAGCACTTTGTATTACCTATTCAGAATTCGAACTAGAAAAGGTAATCGGAAGCAGGAGTATGCACTCCATTCCTACGTTTAAAGTCTTCTACAGTATCATGTATAAAAAGATTTCAAGTTATCTGATGTAGACTTTACAAATACACCAAAATTTTTAGACTGGCTTTATTCAAATTTTAGATACTATTACTGTTCAATGAAAGAAGATGTAGATAGCTAGTAGGAAGTAATGGCTATCCAACCAAAATAAATTCACTTATCTAGCTTAAACAATTAAAACTGAATCTCAGTTAAAATGGTAATGAATATACTTAAAAATGAAAATATTGAACAGTGTAGTAGCTGAAAGACTTAATGTTTACACAACATGTCGAGTTTAAAAATAACATTGGAGTTACGATGATTCTTATTCTTGTCTTGTATTAATTCTTGGACGAGGAGGAGGTTGTTCGAAGTAAGCCTTCCAGCTACAAAATTGATTTCATTTTCAGATAGGTCAGTCTGCTAGCATGGACACCATTCGATTCCCTGCTACTAGACAAATCAGGCAGGAGTCTTTCCATCTGCACACTGATTTAGATTATACGACTATGCACAATGCTATGCTTCATTGCATCCGAGAAGGGCTTCGCCTAAACCCCACTTTACACCATAATTTAACGCTTTAAGAAACCAAGCATATTTTCCAACAGATTTACCTTATAAATTGCCATAATTAATTCCCACAAGATACTTTCACAGATTCTCCTTAGCCCCTATTTGGGCTCTATTTTTTCAAAAACACAATTTTTCAAAATTCATTTCAACCGCACATTTTCTCATAAAATAATGTTACACGTAAATTCAAAATTTTTCCTTATTTTTCACCACATATTCTTCAAAAAATACATTTCCCCCGAAATCTCATTTCAATGGAGCTCAAATAGGGGGCTTAATGGTCCTATAACATACAATTGGGGAAAAAATATCTTGTAAAGTAGGACCCAATATTTATATCTTTGTTAGGGTCATGTCTCGAGTGTTACAATTTTCAATGCACAAATTTTTCCAGATTGCCATTGATATGTGTGTTGGGCTCGCTGATTTATCACTCGCATCTGCCTACGGGAAGCTAGCCATCTTTAAAATTGGGGCATGGGCAGAGGCCTGGTGGAATCCTTGCTGGTTTAGCAACATGTGGAGTGATGATGAATATAGTTTCCACTGCCTCTGACAGCATGCAGGATTTTAAGACATGTTACTTAACCTTGGCTTCACCCCGTTCAATGGTTGTGAGCCAAGTGATTGGCACTGCTATGGGATGCGTTATTTCTCCTTGTGTCTTCTGGATTTTCTACAAAGCTTTTTCTGATCTCAGGATTCCTAAAAGTGAATATCCTGCTCCCTTCGCTACAATTTACTATAATATGGCTAAACTAGGGGTTGAAGGCTTCTCGGCTCTGCCAAAAGTTTGCCTCAAGCTATGTTACGGATTTTTTGCTGCGTCCATTCTCATCAACTTAACCAGAGATGCTTTGGGCAAGAAACATTCATGGTTTATTCCACTTCCAATGGCAACGGCAGTACCATTTTTTTGGGGTTCACAGATTGCTGTTGATAAGTGTGTTGGAAGCCTCATACTTTACGCATGGCAAAGGAAAAAAAAAAAAGGCCAATGCTGATGCCTTTGGGCCTGCCATTGCTTCTGGTTTGATTTGCGGTGAAGGGATGTGGACTTTGCCTAGATGTATACTAGCTCTAGTCGGGGTGAAACCTCCAATTTGCATGAAGTTCCCGTCAAGGGCTGCTAATAGTAAGGTAGATTAAGTATTAGAATCCTGGATAGGCCAGGGGAAAGATCGACTTATATGCCAAAAAGTATCACCTTGATAATTATAGACTGAAAAAGATTATCCCGTATCTATACATTAGAGAATAAATTCATGTTTGTGCAGTATGAAACTGACACTCGATTTATTTACCTATGGATGCATCTCAATAGTACTTAGTAATACATTATCTCCAATTCTCAACAACTAGAAAGGTGGAGAGGAAACAAAAGTAATTTTCACAATGAAACCAGTTCAAGACAACATTTAACTTATATACACGTGATCCTCAATACTAGCTTAAGCTAATGTTCTGGATTCAAATCTAACTACTACCGCATTTAAGGAATTTGTGCATGTGTCAATTAAATTCTGCATCCTAAAGACTCAGAACATATTTCAATTTTTCCCCTTGATATTTCCTGCATACTTTTGTGAAGCTTTCTTAACATATTTACGAGCCTAAACAAAACTCTAAAGATAATGACACAAGGAAGAGATCAAAGAAAACGTCAATCTCCATCTCCACCACTTTTTACTTCAGTCGGTCTCTGTCAACTATAATTTGGCGAGATATTGTTGCCAATACTCCTGTTTCTCATAGCCATCCTCCACCCAAATTTTGCTCAATCGAAACAGAAGTGAAGCACGCCTATGCTATTTTTAAGTTTTTTAGCTTTGTGAGTCAACCATTAATTGTATTTTAATTTGGTTTTCAATTGGATACTGAAATTGGGTCAAAAGCTAATATGCATGCATATATACATGGTAAGTCCAAATCCAACAACACTGATTTAAAAACACACACCCATGGCTATCAAACTGAAAAAAATTCACTTGTCTAGCTTTAGACAATAAAACTGAATCTCAATTAAAATGGTAATAAATTCAATGAAAAATGAAAGTATTATGTCTTAAATAATTAATTAATTCCTGTGTCCGATTGGCTTAAGCCTTTACTAACCTAATGGAATTAGAATTTAGAAAAACCTGCAAGTACACAGTCTAGATTTAGGTTTTTATTGTACGGTGTTTATTACTTGCTATCACAAAAAAGAGGCAAAACCCGTAAATATTGTTCTAAAAATCTGGCTTGAATTCTTCATTGCTGTATACCATACATGAAAAGAGAGCTGAATTTTCAAGTCCCGGTATCGAGCTTTGATTTTTAAAAATTAACAATCGCGTGGAGGCATGTTTAAACGAGATTTAAATGATAAATATATCACTCTCTATAATCATTCCACACGTCATCCACTTATGCTGTTGGAAATTCTTTATTTCATTTATAAATTGTTAGTTAAACTTCATTTTCAACCACCACATTTTGACCCACAAATCTTATCCACAACTTATTTTTATCTATTTATAAATTCTTNAGTTACAATGGTAATGAATATAATGAAAAATGAAGACGTTGAACAATCAAGTACTATATGAAGATTTTCTGCCCAAACTAAGAAATGCCCAGTATTATATATTTCAAAAAAAATTGTTCTATCATCAATCTCACTGTTGTAGAAGCATTACAGTATCAAGCAGTCCAATCTTCATCACTTGCATACATATCCTGAGAAAAGTTGGCAACAAATAGAATCAGCAGGATTAAAAAAAAAAAAAAAGCCATTACCACCCAGTTCACAAACAAAAATCATCACAATGTCCATATCAAAGTTGTGTTCATGCACTGGACAAGGAGCGGTATGAATGTCAACGTGCTCCAGGTGATGAATGTGCATGATTCATATACAATGCATCAATAAACCAATGTGATTTATGTTCTTGCATTTCATTACAATCTTAATGAAGTTAAAACTGCAATAAGAAATCACACCTGAGATGGGCTAGAGAACTCTTCAATGTCATCATCTTCGACCTGCAGAGTCAAAAACACTAATATACTTCAATGAAGGCTTTATTTCAACATCAATCATGGAAAAATTCAACTATACCACAAGTTAACTCAAAAGATAGCTGACAAGATGCTAATGTACCTACCTCTTCTAATCATAAAATCATGATAATCAATAAGTTACCCGAAGTATTTAAAATAATTTGTCATATATGTAAGACGATAATGACATTTTGAGTCCACCAAAACTTCTTGTTATTCCAAATTTAACATACAACATGGCTGATGGCACTAACAGAGAAAGTAACTTCATTTCATTTCCAAATTGGTCAGGTTCAACTTGCAAAATTTACAATCCTTAGCTTTTCCCAGTGATGCCAAATCTCTAATTAAGAGTTATTTAGCCTCTGTTTGTCTCCCATTCTTTCAAAACTTTTTTTTCTACCTACTCATTTTCAACCACACATTCAAACAATAAAATATTCTACACATAAACCCAAAACCTTTCCTTACTTTTTAACCACACATTCTCAAAAAATTCACTATTCAAAACAATGCTTTTCCAAAAAAATGGCCACCAAACATGGGCTTAATAGAAAAAGAGGTATCTTAAGAACGATGCACCACAAATTCTATACTGCAAACATAAATTCCGTGGTTGGGGGTTGGGGGTGGGGGGTTAGGGTTACAAATAATCAAGTGTCTATATTCTAAATGAAGATGAGTTATATTCACCTGGTCTAGTGACTATATAACAAAAAAACTCTCAAGTGAAGAGAAGTGGGTAGCAGAAAGGACCTTCCTAAATCATACTGAAACATCTTGTGGATAAGCAAACACATCACACAACAATTTCGAACCCAAACACCAGGCACCAGCTTAAGTATACAACCTCATAAAACAAAGCCTAAATTTGATCAAGCTGATTGATGTCCTGACACCATGTAGGCCATCTGCTTTTTACATTCCAGGAGCAATCAATTTCTAAAATTTTTACAGTAGGGAAATGGAAGCACCCAGAAAAGATTTGTATCATCAAATAACATCGGATAAGGAACATATCAGGCAAAGCAGTGCAGAAATCAATAAAAACACTAGCTGCTTTAAAACTCAAAAGTTATTGAAGACATAATATGTCTCCGACTTTTGAAAAAATGAGGGGGAAAGGTAAAACTCATAGCACTGACAGGCGCACGTACACACGTTTAATAAATTTTCAGATATGTAACATTTCGAATGCTGAACTGGGATAAGGCTTAGCTTCTTGTTGTCATTAGATTACTTCCTAATACTTATATTTGTCTTGCAACAGCAAATGGACTGCAAGTATTCAACTCAATCAAAAACAAGAATTCTAAATGCAAAAAGCAAAATACCAGCACAAGGTTCAATTTTCTATTAAGAATATCAGAACCATGAATTCTAATACCGTAAGCTAGGGGAGCAAAGAACTTACAGAACTTAATTCTTGCTTAATTTAGATCAAGCAAAATTAGGAACGACGTTCATAATTTTTTAAACATCAACGTGTCAACTAACAGGACACATTTAGCAGGCAATAACATATGGTGGTGGCAACTGAAGTGCTTGTGGCAGGCTGAAGAATTTGCTAATTAAATCTGGATGGCTATTTTACCCGAGGGGAACTGCTAGGATCAGACAAATTTGAGGCAGGAATTGGGTCAGCTTTCCCTTTCCTTGAGGATGATGCACCCTGGGTATTGCTTTTGGACTTCATTTGGTAGTCTTCAACAGAGCTTGTACTCTGAAAAGTAAGGTTACCTATTTTCTTCGTGGAAGAAATATGTAATAATATCTTAAGGATAATTTTAAGAGAATCAGAGATGCATGAAATAAATCAAGCTGATGGCTTTCCAAACTCCAAGACACACGATGGCCAAAACACATGACTACTTTCCAATACTTTAACTAGTCCCTCCATAGGCATCAAAGAAAATTGGGCCCACAGCTCTTTGTACTTCTTGCCTTAGAATTGTGTCAAGGCTTTTAAATAAAAATTGACACTACGTGGTTTCAATTTAAATAAAAAAAAGTTTATGTTCTGCCTGTAGCTCATTATTGAATGGTATGAGATGCTGTTTTGATTAAAATATATAGTGTGTCTACAGTAAGACCCTCAAGTCCTGTATATAATTGGTTTGCAAGATTTTTGCCATATATTGTGACGTGAAATTGGAACGAGTGAAAACCAAATTCATATCTAAATGAGATAATTTCTAATTGCAATTCGTGTCTCCCAAGTAATGCTGCCCAATGCAACCTAGCAGTGATGAGGAAGCAATTGAAGCATCATAATAGTTGAATCAGAAACCATTATTTAATAAAACAGCATCGTGTATATTTTGCTTCTCATAATTTTTCTTATACAACTTTTATGTTTCACATCATAGGACTTGCAGCAAACACAACTTTAGGATCCATAGCTATGTAAAATCAAAGAACTAATATTGCAAAACAAGGAATATCTTAATTCGGTCTTAATTCAGTGCATTAATGGAAACTGCTTGATCTCCAGCTTCGTATTTGTGGGTGTGTATATCTTCATGGTCTTTTGGGAGCCTTCTGGTTGGAAGTGGCAGGGCACAAAGGGATGGCAGGTAGATTGGAGATATTGCAGGAGCCAAGATTATTGTGATAAGCCTCCTATACAATTTACCTATAGAAGGACTCAGAAGGAGGAGGGAAAAGTTGGCTGGGAAGTAACAGAATATGTTAGTGAAGGGATGAGTTGACTTTGACTTAGTTAGTTATACGAGATCTATAAATAGGAAGTAGAGGGAACCAGAAGAGGGGGGAAATTGAGAGTAGTCTTGGGGGAGAGAATTGGCCTCTTGAAAGCCAAATACCTTTGTTTCATTTTCTTGTTGCTGAATTATAGATTTATATTTTACAAATTGCTGCTATTCTTCATAGCAGAGTTTTCCTATATTTTAGTAGAATTCCAGAAATACAAAATACATTTATAGCCTGAGTTATTGTTCTTCTTCAGTCTTTTCTCTAGTCTGATCTTAATTCTAGAAGCTGAACTGGATCTGTGACAGGTTCTTATCACATTGCTTTGATCATCCTCTCTAAAAGAAACAAATGCAACAAGTTTTGACAAAGTGCAAGGTGCAGAAATATTACAGGCTTCTTCATCATCGATTGATGACATGATGTAGACTATGACAATTAACTTCTCTTGATGGCACTCCACGCGTTTTTAAAATTAAATAACTACCAAGGCTAAGTTCTAAGGAGCCCTGAATTCCACCGCTACATAGATGAAAGATAATTATGTCGCAAGATGACTTGACAATAAATGGTCAAAGAGAAAGTAGAAATTCAATCAGTAAACTTCAGTTTCCTAAGTTGATTTCTAATATGATTATTAGCCTGTTTGAGCCCTATTTTTTCATAAGAATGCATTTTGGAACAATAGATTGATGGAGAACGTGCGGTCGAAAAATAAAGAAAAGATTTGAGTTTTCATGTAATATTATTTTATTGAAGAATGTATAGTTGAAAAGAAGATGGAGAAATGTATTTAGAAAATAATGAGGATCAAACAAGGGCTATATATAAGGAAATTGTAAGAAAGAAAAGGCAAAATGAAAACAATAAGACATAATTGAAGAGTACAAGAATATACATGTAAGAACAATACCTCAGGTTGTTTCTTCAATGTCATAGTTTCTGCACCTACACATGCAAAAGCAAACAACATGTGGACCATGAGAAGCTATGTGTGAGCAGAATCAGAAATGAATTGAACATATGTCAAAATCATGCATAATAAGATAGCATGATTCTAGGCATTAGACAAGTGACACATCATATAAAATGACAGGACCTAGAACCGGTTGCCGTGTGAGACATTTAGTTGGTCCTCTAAAATTTGTCAAGTAATAGTATTGTGCGTCCTACATCATTCTTATTAGGTCTGGCATGTTTTAATTAGACAAAACTTCTACATTTCTTTTATTTGTAGTTGCAGAATTTACGAAAAGGTCTGTCCAATAAAAACTATGCCTTCTACTCTACACCAACCATATGAGATATTATATGACATATAACATGATGTTGTCCATTGCACGAGGAATCTTGAATTTAGGTTAGTCAATGGATCAAAATCAACTGACAATTGATCCGACTAAGAAGAATTGGTATAACAGGTTCGTTCTGGTTTTCCGAAGGCCTACCTATGTTTTAATCTGTTCAGATGTCCCCATTAAAGTAGAATATCATGAAAAGTGATTCAAAAGCTTTGAGAATAGTGTATCATAGATATCTAACATCAATCTTCGGGTACACCCATAATTAGATACAGATTATCTCTCTTATTCTGACAATTGAACTGATCTAAACAATCTAATTTACATAATAGGAATATATTTAAGGAAATCGTTGTACAGCATTGTAGAATATTGGAAGGAAGGCATGCACTTTACATGTTTTCCATACCGCCCTTACACACCAAATGACATTCAATAAGCAGATGGTTAAGACGAGAAGAAAGTATCAGTTTTTGGGTATAGTAAATAATTTACAAGCAAAATCTATTTCCAGTTTTTATGCAATAAATGGCATCATAAAATTAGAATGAGCGGTAAGGGAGGGGTAAAGAGAGAACAAGGCTAACCAGCATCTCTTTCCTCAATTTTCTTCCCCCGTTTCAAGAACTTGGAAACCTACAACAAGCCAATGGCATGTGATGAAAGGTAAAAGGCAAATAAAGGATAGCAAAGCGCAACAGGTTGATATTCCTAGATAGAGGAGAAAGAAGTCTTTATATTTATAGGGGCAAAGAAGAAGCAAACAAATCTCAACCTTGACATTATCCTTCTTCTGTTTCACATCCTTATTTGCCTTCTGAAAATGAAAAATGATATATCAAACTGATACAGTGGCATAAAGTTATTATTGTATCCATTTGATTGACTATAACAGCATAAGCCCATAAAAGAAAATTGTAAATGAGATCATCAAAAACAAAAGGCAGGGTTGATAATCTTGGAGAAAGAATCCCTGCTTATTGCTTAAGCATAGATTACTGTAAGCACTGTGACGCAGATAAGCCAAATGTGGGGAAATCAATGTGTCCGAATCCAAATAAATGTATTATTTTAATCTGGATGTACTATAGATACTTCTTAGTCAATTATCAATTTCACCCTAAAAGATGGACATTACATATGACAAACATTATGCTTTCAGACAAAACAAAAGTAAATGTACTAGAAGAGTTTTAAAGAAAATAAAACTTCCATACCAAAATTAATAAATTATCTTTATTTCATAAATTAAAAATGAATGAGTAAAAATAGAGCCCAATAAGTGAAAACTGCATCTAAAGAGTGGTCGTATTATTAAGAGAAGATATATATTAAAACTGTATTCTTAGTTAATTCTCATCAGGACAGTGTCTCCGTAGTCATTGTAAGTTGTATCCCGTTTGAGATGTGTAACCATGTGTATTTATTTCCGGACAAAAGAAAAATTCGAAGTTTTCAGTTTCCCTTGTGGACAAGTTATCTTCACTTATTACCAATTCACAGCTAAGCTAATATGTAGTTAACAATGGAGACAAGAAACAACTGGAAAGATGCAGTAACTACAATAATCACAATGAAAAGACGCTGCTTATTTTGAAAAGGTTTCGAGGTTTAGATTATTGTCAGGTGTCAATCATCAACTCAACATCAAACTACCAATAACTCGTACAATTTGTTCATTTGTGCTATCAATCATTCGACTCTTCGAAGAGACACAAGACTAGCATTCACAAGTAGTGTCATCGTGAAATTTGGAGGTAATCCCCAAGTGTTACAAGACAACAATCTTGCACACAACTGTGACAAATAATGCATATGGACATTTACCAGTAATTTTTTTTTTTTTTTAAGTTTATGAGAAATTTAATGGATAGGAACAGATTAAAATTATTCAACATTGTACAAAGAGATCCTACTTGGTTTTGAACACGAGAGCATCTTTTTTAATAATATCAAGGGCATCGTGGTGCTAGAGGATGCCAGTACTCGTAATTGAGATGCAAGATCTCTGTAGTAGAGAAAGAGGAGCTTGCATAGGATATCAACTTAGAGTTAAGGATGCGATCGAGTCAACATCCATCATGACCATCTATGATGGTAGAACTGCAATTAGAAAGGTTAGAGATGTTGATGATATACTGCTACTTTTACACAATCTTTGGATTTGATAGATATCCCTTCTACACAACATAGTTTGTAGAAAGGATCTCAGAGACCCAGCATTGATGCTTGTAAAAGTAAAAGCTGCAAGACCTCACCTTCTCCTCCACCTTCTTAAACAATGTAGATACAGTTGTTTGAACAAGAGAAACGTGAGTGTTGTGAGAGAGATCTTTAGATTTGACAGTTCGTTTAACGTGATCTGAAGCTGGAATGGGCTCTGTGGCATCCACATTGTCAATGTCGAAGACTACAGGGCATCTACGTTCAGTTTGTGTTATTATTTAAGGAAATCAGTGTGTGGAAGCTGAAATCGCATGTTGTACCTTCACGAGGTATATGGAAGCTTCAAATATCCATGACTTAGTAGCACAAAGGTCGAGGGACAAAAAATAATATCCAATAACTAAGAAATATTGTTGAGAAAAAAATTATAAGGATATTTATTCCTGTTTTCTGTACGACGCCGACTTCCTCATCCTCTTCTTCAAAGGTTTCAGCATCCGTTCCAATAAAATCATCCCCAGAAGATGCTTCTGCAAACCTGCCCACAGACTTTTTAAGCATCACAGCCGAGAGGAATTTTAACAAGATCTTAAGGAAGCAAAACAAAGCAAAGGATAGTGCCTTGTACAAAAATAATTGATCTCATGTGGCTTCCAAATACATATGATGTAAATTACTGCATCCTAGCAAAAGGTAGTGCTAGTAGTTATTGGTAAATTTAAATGCCTCACAAGTGAAACAAGAGAAAAAGGGTCTGCATTTATATGTCCATAAATTCTACAGCTCAATCTTATATATTCTCTTCGAGATATTCTTAGGCACATAAAGTGACAAAGTTGCTGCTTTGACCAATGAGAGGAGAAACAGCTTATGTGAAACTGATTGCTCATAATCACATCACATATTTCCTTCGCCAGCGAATGAAAATTTTAAGTGTAATAACATGAACTAAAACAATCATAGTTGTTTTGAGTTCTTGTCAATCACTAGTCATTTCATACTCATCTGATAGATGCTTCCTCTGTCTCATGTTGAATTTCTACATTTCCTTTTTGACGTGTCTCAAATTTGTCTATATTTTCAAGATATAATTATTATTGTCGAGAAATAGAATTTGTAATATACGAAGAAAGGATATGATACAAGTTTAAGAGAACAAGACATCCTTGTCAAGAGAAGAGCGAAAAAAAAGTTACACAAAATCAGTCAAATAAACCATCCCAGTTCCTTGGTAAATCTTTAATAGCTATCCCGAATAAATGACCCTCAACTATCTTTAATAAAATAGTCCCATTAAATTATTTTTTCCGATGCAAACTTAAAAACATAATGTTCTACATAAAACTTTATCTCACACATTAAATTAAATTGGCGAACTAGACAAAACCTATATGTTTTTAATTTTGTACTAAAAAACATGCAGACAAGTAAAATCACAATTCTCAACTTGGGACAAGGAAGATATGACGTCAAAGAGAGGTTGAAATGTTGAAAAAAAATAAAGTGCTGTATAAGTAGCCAGTTTTTTTAGCCTAGGCTTAGCTCAGGACCTCACAACTCATCATATTTGATTCGGTATAAAATTATCTATGCAGTTTTTGTCATGCAGAAAAAGGAAAAGAAAATACTTGAAAGTTTTCCCTGCAGTCCTAGCTGAATGCCGAGTAGGAGTTACTTCAATTGATTCTTTTCCATTATTTTGACTATCAGTTAAATCATCCTCCAGTGAATCTTTTGGCGAATCTTGTTTCACACATTTCATTGCAGATTTTATAAAACCTCGTCTTCCATCACAAGGTGCACCTGCACCACCCTTGAAATCATACTCTGCATGTTGTTCCTGGGCCAAACCAGGACACGGGAAATTGTGTCAAGGATATCTGGGAAAATATTTGGTGATAAACTCGTATTTTGGCACGCTTTTCGTATACAACTTTGACCAACTGAAAGCAGGGTGTTCTCTTTCTATTAAGTGCAAGTGAAACAAATTCACAGTAAACTAACCAAATTCAGATCCTTCGGAAATTCCAGACGTAATTCTTCTGGATTCTCATCTTTCTTTCCAATCCACCACGCATCAGAAAATACTATCTGGGGAAGAAAGACACAAGAATGCATGATTTCGACCTCAAGAAAAAAGATGGACTAAAATGCATATGGAAATCAAATATCGACAAAGTGCTTGGTAACTGATTATGGATTGTATCATATCAGATGTTATTTTAAACATCCAATTCAAAAACTAAGTGGCGAAGGATGAAGTAGCCATAGACACTGAAGATTGCCTTGGGAACGGTACTGATCAGGGTGGGACAACCTTTTTTTATTCTATCTTTGCTCAGGTGCCATTTAAGGTCAGTCATATAGTGTTACAACCCCACCAGATTTTGAAACCATTTCAAAAGACATTATCCGATAATATTTGTTAACACCAGTCCCCAATCCAACCACCACCACCCAAAGGAAAGAAATGAACTTATACACCAATACCATTTGTGGTGAACTCCACTTCTTATCCTTTTGAATACTAATAGGAATGGGTCCTTGCCATAAATATTTCTTGTGTCTTAATTAAAATAGAATGACTTGTTTGACTTATTAGAGAAAGACTAGTTTGACTTGTAATGGTTAAAAACTTTTTCCAAAAACTCCCAAAATAGTAAAATTTCTCGAGTTTGGTGTCATATAGTGTGTTATTATGCAAAAAAAAATTTTAATCTAAAATACATAAATTGATACAAAATATAAAAAACACGTGCATAAAATTATTTTCTCTCTTCCAATAGAATAGAAATTTGAAATGAATGCAAAAGAACATACAAAGTCACATAATACTCAGATTTTTGTATTAATTAAGCAAACAATAATACGAGCATCACTACTTCCAATTTACATCCTCCTTTTACATATTTTTCCTCCACGACTTTAAATGTTATATCTGGGTTTATTCTGTGTGTTAGTTGATCAAAATATATGCATGAATAAGAACCTGTGTATATGGACTGAACTGGTTCAACTAGAAGTTAGGGCCATTGCCCGTGGAATCCAAGCTAAGCCAGGTCTTGTGCATACTGACAGAAGACGCTAACTTTCATAAGTCTAACGTTGTAATTCTAGTGACGTTTTTAATGCACCTTCAAACATTTTGGCATGCCTTTTCACATGAATTTCTGATACCATAGCTACAATGGAACCTTAAGGATGCAAAATGAAGAAAACATAGGCAAGCATGTAGTGCATACATTAACCCCTTGTTTGGTGGAGGTTAATATTAGATTTTCAGTAGATTTTGATAAAAATATATGAAATGTGTGGTTGAAAAGTTGTGGTCCCATGAAATACATGGTTGAAATTAATTGTTAACTTTGACTTAGAGCTAAGTGTTTGGTTGGAAAAGATTATTTGAAGTGAAAAATAATTTTTTTTGGAAAATATGTGGTTAAAATTAGGAAAAATTATGGGTCACGTGCAATATTATTTTATGAAGGATATATGCTTGAAAATGAGTTTGAGGAAAAATGATTTTCAAAATAAGTTGTGCCAAACAATCGATAGACTCTGTTTTGAATCAAAATTCTTGATATGAAAATTTTCCAAAAACTGTAAAAGTTGTTACTTTTTATTTGAAAAATTGAACACCCACAACTACTAAACTCTCGTCTTTATTCTCGTGTTTCTCCATATTCTCTACATAAGAACCATCAAGCATCAATACATGATATCCATCCATCAAGACCAGGAATAGAACATGCAGTAGTTGCAAGCACACTTTGGAAAGAACTCCACATGCTTCAAAATCAACTATCAGTTTCTTGGAAGTAGAAAGCTTATGAGTTCTAGAAGCCAACTTATGAAATAGCATCACTGGTTGCATAGGAGGTATTCCTAATTCTATTGAGCTATAATAGGGACTCTCTGCTGTACATTCAGCTATCTCAATGTCTGATGTGGAAAATAATAATAGAGAAGTGAGTCATGAGAGTTGCTTAATTACAACTTCAATAAAAAATAGACAAAGCAAACAAAACATAGATAAGGTATCCAATGAAACATGAGGAAGGACGGTGTGTTTACTATTTAGGATGATGCGAGTCCAGTTGATGAGAAAGAACTAGTACTACGGTTTGATAAATAACTATGTACAGCTTTCTTAAAATAATAAATTGGCTATTGCACACACACACACACACACACACACACACAGACATTTAAACAAATACAGGGAGTATTGCAATTGCAGGATGAAATTAAGAATATTCTGATGGTTGCACATATGAAGGTCCAAATGTGAAATATTAAATGTCAATCATGGATGAGGAAATGTGTGACAAGAAAACTGGCAGAAAGAAATACGAGAAAATAATTACCATATTGTCGAAGTAATCCTCACACATCACACTCTTCCCACCTCTGGAAAACTGCAGAGTCAAATACCTATTTTTCGGATAGATAATGGTCCCAAAAAGCTTCAATTGACCCTACGCATTTGAAGAAAACATAATCTGTATTTTGTTTGGCACTTATTAATTGAGAATCTGTCTTATCAAACATATCCATTAGAACGCCAAACATGATAAAATCATGAGTTCCTACACTATTTCCCTTCTGTTTTCCTGTCAAAAGGTTAGAAGTGATTCAGGTAAATGTAAATAATTTTTAAAAATAAATTATTGTTGAAGATTGCTGAAATTCATTTTATGAACTCCTATCTTCCACTATAAGCAGATACAAAATTGCAACTCTGTAAGCATTACATATTGTCATTCCTGTGTGATTTTCTTAGTAACCTCTTAGTTTTAAGGATGACTAGAAAACTTCATCGTTTCTAAAGTACCTGGAAACCAACCAAAAATTCAAGATACTAATCAAAGGAACAAAAGACCGGTGCTAGAGCAAGTTCATTAGACCTGCACAACAGAGTACACCATTTGAAGCACACCGAACAACACGTCTCAGTCAAAGTTCGAGTTCATTTCACCCATATCAAAATAACCTATCAAGTCAAAAACCCACAACAAGCACAACAAAGATAATAAGAAAACCTACTAAACCTGGGGGAAATCAAGATACAGAATAGGGTTTCGCGTGCCAAGGTCTTTAAGCTCGCCGATTTTCCCACCGGAAATCGGACCAAGAAGGCCCGGAAACGAGAAGAGAAATCTTTTCTTGCGCTGAGATTTTTTTAGTATATCGGTGCCGTGATGTTTGGTCACAATTTTCGACGGGGCAAGAGCACTAGATGGCCCAACTCTTGATGGATTTTCAGACATGGCCCGGAAACGAGAAGAGAAATCTATTCTTGCGCTGAGATTTTTTTAGTATATCGGTGCCGTGATGTTTGGTCACAATTTTCGACGGGGCAAGAGCACTAGATGGCCCAACTCTTGATGGATTTTCAGACAAAATGGTTTTGGAAAACGCCAATTTCTTCAACCTCTTTCTCTCTTCCACTTCTGGGTTTGATGCCACAGCTTTCTCTTCCTTCTTAACATCTCGACCCATTCTCGCTGTCTATAGCTCGTTCCCTCGCTCAGAGATTTTATGGCGCGTCGGGTAGGCGGGAGAGTAGTAGTATATAAATGGGGATAAAAATAAAACACAGGAGGTCACCCTAGTTTCAAATTAAGTTCATTTTGATCCCTTCACTTACTATGAGATAAAAATAAACATATGAACGGAAAAAGAAAATCTCCCAGTAGTGCGATAATGGCATAAATAAAACAACACGATTTTAGTTGAAATAGGATAAAATCAAAGCAATCGAACCGGACAGAATGGCCACGGACACACTTTGATCCCCTTTCATCTTCGTTTACAACTCTTAAGATTTCAATTTCACTCACTAGTCACTCTTCAGTAGGGTTTAATGGTATATCTGAAACCCTCTGGTATCCAAATGGAAGTATAAGGGAAAATATTTATCTGTTAAGTTACTCCAATTATTAATTAAGTTATAAAAAAGCGAATCTCATTCGAGCCTCCGATTTCTATTCAACTTCAGTCGATCGATCCATACAATGGTGGCGAAGATGGAGAAATCAGCAACGGATCTTCTGACATCACCGGGTGTGAGTTCCCTGGTCAAATACCTGAAACTAAAAACGAAGCAACAGGAGCTTTTGATTCGAGTAACGATCCTGTGTTTGGTCTATGTATTGGCATTTATCACGCGTCTGTTTAGTGTGTTGCGTTATGAGAGCATGATCCACGAGTTTGACCCGTATTTCAATTACCGGGTCACTCAGTTTTTGACTCAAAAGGGGTTCTATGAGTTCTGGAACTGGTTCGACTCGGAGAGCTGGTACCCACTTGGGAGGATTGTTGGTGGGACACTCTATCCCGGTCTCATGGTCACAGCCGCCCTGATTTACTGGACTCTCCGGTTTCTAAGGTACATATCATCATTTTTATGTTGCATAAATGTGTATATACTATACAACATACAGGTATGTATGTGGGCTTGTACATTTAACTCTTGACAATGTTAGTGGGATTTAACTGTGAAGATTGGGATGATACTTGGGACTGGAGATGTGCCTTATTTGGAGGTACACAGAAAAAAATTAAGGCATATATATTGAAAATTTATGGAAGCATGATTCGCCGAAACACAAAAGGTTCAAATTTTACGGAAGTTCGATTCACCTATACACAAAGGTGCAAACTTTAAGCAAATATTGTTTGGGAAACTAACTTGGAAATGCTTGGATATGAGTTGGAATTTTTTTAATTTTATTATGCTATTGTTTGCTTGTGTGTTGTAGAAAATAGTGAAAATTCTGAATATAATGCTGTGATCTGAATCCATTTCTAGAGGTAAGTAAGCCCCTGTTTGGACCCCTTTTTTTTTATCCAACTCATTTTCAAGCACACATTTGGTTCCACAATTTTTATCAACTTTTCAACCACCCATCAACTTTTTTGAAAATCTACTAAAATTCCGATTTTTAGCAAAACCAATCCCGGGCTTATATTGATACCTTTTCTAAGATTTTTCTGATGGGTCTTGTACTTGGTTAGGATTCTCACTCAGTGGCTCTTCTAATAGAGCAGTACTAGGTAGCTATTTTAATACTGGCAATCTATGGTGGTCGGTGAGAGATGGCAATGATTTAGATGATAATAAACCATTAGTTAATGCAACAAACAGATACTACTAGGAAGAAAGTGTGTCTGCCAAATACTACACGTCTAAACCTCGAGTGTGAATAATTTGACATGGATGCATTAGTATTTGCACCTACAATCGTACTTTTTGAGATTTTCTTGTTAGTCCTCTACCTTCTTATGGCAATGTTATAAAAGATGAATTGGGTATTGAGGCATTTATCTCCATGAGGCAATGGCAAAAATCTCAAGAGAAAATAATACTCCCTCTGTCCCACAAATATAGGCTTCTTTTCGTTTTCACGAAGATTAAGCAAATTTAATTAATATAGTTGGAACAATAAAATTTACTTACATTTTTCTAATATACCCCTACATTGAATAATGATTTAAATAAGAGTAGTTCATATTTGTTGTTAACAATGCACATTAAATAGGGGCATATTAGAAAATTAACAAATCAACCATACTCTCAACAAGAATAGTGGCCTATAATTTTGGATATACGACAAAGGAAAACAATCCTATCTTTATGGGATGGAAGGAGTAAAAAAATTCATAAGGGTGTGTTTGAGCCGCATTATTTTGGAAGAATGTATTTTGGAATGGTAGATTGATGGATAATGTGTGGTTGAAAAAGAAGGAAATGTTATTAGCGTGATGGAAAATATTCTTTTTTTTTTTTAAGAATGTGTGGTTGAAAATGAGTAGAAGAATAAGAATGAAAATTTTAATGTGGCTCAAACAGGGCTAAATATAAGAATACAAAAGTATATTCATAATATAACATGACCCCTTTCAAAAAATCCATAACAAAGCTAATAACAAAATTCAAAGTCTAACATACAAAAAACCATAAAATTAATCAAGAAACTAGAAAATAATAAGGTTTGAAATTAGCAAGCATGATTTAAAAAATGAGTTAGGTTCTCACTCTCTAAGTCTGCTAATGGGGCAGTACTATGTATGAATTTAATCGTGGAAATATGTGGCGGTTAGTGAGAGATCAAACAAAACACATATGTTAGAGAACCACGTCTAAAATGTTTTGATGATGCCAGTAGGGCGTAACTGTGAATGTGTGAGCACTGTGCATTACTTACAACATAAAAACATGAGGCATAAATAATCATAACTTACACTTATTTTCCTGTACCTGAGAAATATTTAAGAAATGATAAATTACTTTCCTCCATGATAAAGATTGTCCAAATTCTCTATGATAGTTGAAAAGTTTAGTGATATTCATAAATGTTACAATTATCATTTTTTCTGTTATTTTGAAACTGTTTATACCATTTTGAAATACGTATCTACAGTTTTTTATGCAATTGCTAATATTTTAACCAAAAATGAGTATTTCGATGGATAGTTGACTTGTGTGCATGTGTGTGTTACATCTATGGATATGTACGTGTATGTATAATTATGTACGTCTGAAACACTTTCAGCAGTTTGGCCTCAACAATCATGTTTGATAACTCTGCAATTTCATGAGCTCTTTCCCACTTCGCAATTCCAACTTGCAGTTACGATAAATTATTTATACCTCGCAAAGTCTCTAATCTAATTCTATCACAGTACCAGTTTCATTTATATTGGGTCTCAAAAGAGTTTTGGTATCATCTTCCAGGTTTGCCATCCACATTCGTGAAGTTTGTGTACTCACTGCACCGTTCTTTGCATCAAACACCACTCTCGTTGCTTACTTTTTTGGCAAAGAGTTATGGGACTCTGGGGCAGGACTTGTAGCAGCTGTGTTAATTGCCATTTGCCCTGGTTACATCTCAAGGTCGGTTGCTGGTTCATATGATAATGAGGGGGTTGCTATATTTGCGCTGCTGCTCACTTTCTTTTTATTTGTCAAGGCTGTGAATACTGGTTCACTTGCTTGGGCACTGGCCTCTGCTTTTGGGTACTTCTACATGGTTTCAGCATGGGGTGGTTATGTTTTCATCATTAATTTGATCCCACTATATGTAATGGTTCTGTTGATTGCTGGGAGATACTCAATGAGATTGTACGTAGCTTATAACTGCACTTATATCTTGGGGATGTTGCTCGCAATGCAAATTCGTTTTGTGGGCTTCCAGCATGTGCAGTCTGGAGAACATATGGCGGCAATGGGAGTGTTTTTCTTGATGCAGGTATATCTTTCTTGTTACCCTGTTTCTAAGAAAATCCCCTCCCCCTCTCTAGGGATGGAGAACATGATGTAAAGGCAGGTTGAATTTGGTGAAATCCTCCTTTTGTTTTATTATGTAGAATCTGAGAAAAGTTTGTCTTTTAGTTTGTAAAGCAGTTAAATTTGAATTCTCTTATGGAAAGCAAGTTGTGGAAGTTTGATCACAATTTAGATTAAATTGCGCATCTATTGTGTTTCTGAAATACCAATTTGAATTATGTTTACAGAGGCAACAATAATTCGTTTCATTTTTTTGATCTTTATAAGCAACAGCCCTTAACTCACAAGAATTTGAAGATCACACAAGGTTCACAACATGGAGGTTGATCTCATGATTTTTTCCACAATATGGATCTCACTATGAGAGAAGTTATATAGGAAAATAAGTATAATTCAACTGCAAGATATTTGCGTGATGTAGTTCACGTTTTACTTCTGTTTGTTTTGTAGCTTTGCCTAATTTAAGTTGCTTACTAATTCAATTCAGTGATAGTTATGCCCTCCAATTGATGCATTTGTGGAAACCATGAGGTAGCAGAAAAGAATTGTTGTTTTCCGTTGAAACATAGTTATTCATAATTTAGCTCTCATTTTGTCCTTTTCCCCTCTTATCTATACTTGCCGATAAATTTGTTCCATTTCAGTATATGTTGTTTACGTGCTGCTTTCAACTTCCTTTGTAGGTATTTTATTTCCTGGATTGGGTCAAGCACTTGCTGAATGATCCAAAGTTGTTTCACACATTTCTGAGGATTACAGTGACCTGTGCGGTAGGTTTTGGTGCCATTGCTCTGGGTGTTGGTACTGCTTCTGGTTATATTTCTCCATGGACGGGGCGATTTTACTCTCTCTTGGATCCAACTTATGCAAAGGATCACATTCCCATAATTGCATCTGTATCTGAACATCAACCGACGGCATGGTCATCGTTCATGTTTGATTTTCATATATTGCTTCTCCTTTTCCCAGCGGGTTTGTATTTCTGCTTCAAGCGGTTGTCAGATGCCACAATATTTATAGTGATGTACGGTCTCACAAGCATGTATTTTGCTGGAGTCATGGTTCGGTTAATTCTTGTTGCTACACCTGCTGTATGTCTTATTAGTGCCATTGCAGTCTCAGCTACTATTAAGAATTTAACTCAGTTGTTGCGGGCAAAGAGCAAAGCTTCTCATAGTGCCTCTGGCAAAGGAACCACTAGCACCAAGGCTTCTTCTAAGGTAGGTGACTGGGCTTCACATGATGTTTTTTTTTAGTATAATGGTCTACAAAGTATTTGATTAAGCCTCCATTTGGCTTCCATTATTCCACATTATAATGAGAGAAATAGTAATTTTTTTGGAGAATGTATGGTTAAATAGGAAAAGGTCAAGACAGATCCAAATAGAAAATAAATTGTCTGACCATGTGATATTTACTGCAAATAAGTAAATCAGAAGACGAACAACGTGATTGATGTGTAAAGTATGTGACACAAATGTGAACTACTTATTGGTTCAACTAATGGCATGAGTTACTGAAAACAGAAGTATATACGAAGAGAACCAAGGGTCTCTAAAGGCCCGAAGCTTTCTTTTAAAATCTGAATTATTATCTTTTATTTTTGAAGAAAACGTGTTCAAGCGTAGGTTTCGAGTGAGCTTTTCGTTTGAACAAGTACTTGACTCCAACTTTTGAAAACACTAAACACTACTTATTCAAACCCTTGTATATTTCCTTATATAACTGAAATATATGGAAACAATAACTTGCATACAGAAATGTCTGGTAATTACTGAAACTATTCCTAAAGTGTGAAAACCATTTATTTTTATGTACAAAATGTATTTTACACCAAGAATGAATGCTAACAAGGCCTCAGCTTAGGGTAAATATTGATATTAGAATGCCTCTCTAGAAAAGCCCTGCTAAAGCTGACTGCTTCCTGTAAATGTCTCTGGTTTTTTGTTTTTACTTTTATTTTGTAACTCTTACCCTCTTATTCTTATGATAAGTTCCACATTTCTTATTACGTCTACTCAATATCTGCATTGTTTCTTGAACCTCTTGTGGTTGTATTATTTACGGCTTAATGTTCATGCTGTAATTTAAATTGAAGGTAAACTTGTTCTAGAATTAGTTAATTGTTGAGAACAATATTACTGGCTCTGTCTAACTAGTTTATTTATATAAAGATAAATAAACAGACATAAATGCAAAAGAAATTATGGCTGATATTCAAAGTGGAGCTAATGTGGTACATGATTAATTTACTATGGAAATAAATAACATAACCAGAAATATTTGACCAAAGAAAACTGAAAGAAAAAGGAGAAATGCTTCTACAATTTCTGAACATCCTTTATCTCAAAATCCAATTCTCTAGATTAGTAGAATGTGTGATCATGTATAGAATTATCTTGTCAAGAGATTACCACCATTGAGGTCTATGATTAAGCCAAATGATAAAAAAATATGTTAGATATTATCTCACAGTTGATTTATATTCTCTTCATATCTTATACGAAACGCAATTAGGACACGTGTCTTGCTGGATGATATCCATCTCTTCTTTACGTCTTTGAATTCTTTCCTCATGCAAACTGAAAGTGACATATTAAGAAATCATCTTTGGCATGTGATTATTTTCTTCATCGGATAAACATAAGTGCCGGGGGTCCATCCTAAATTTGGTTTGGCAACAGTACATAAAGATACTACGTTGGCTACTATAGATATTGAAATACGAAGTACATGATTTGTCTAAGTACCATGTATCATATTTGGCTCTTCCTCCACCATTAAGAACCTGTCAACTTGCATCCATCGTAAGTAGGTAAATTGCTAATGAGGTCTTGACGTGAATGGTATTTGCTGTCTTTCTGTCTTATCAATAATTTCTGCATAATATTCCTCGAGGTGCTGGTAAACTGGTAATGTTTCTTGTGTATGTTGTGCTACCAGGGTTCACTGGATCAATCACTACCATTTCAAAAAAATGGTGCTATTGCATTGCTTCTAGGTGCATTTTACTTGCTGAGTAGATACGCTATCCACTGTACCTGGGTCACTTCTGAGGCATATTCATCTCCTTCAATTGTCTTAGCTGCAAGGGGTGCCCACGGGAATCGGGTCATTTTTGATGATTATCGTGAAGCCTACTTCTGGCTGAGGCAGAACACTCCTCCAGATGCCAAGGTGATGTCATGGTGGGATTATGGCTATCAAATCACCGCCATGGGGAACAGAACAGTAATTGTTGACAATAACACCTGGAATAACACACATATTGCTACTGTCGGACGTGCAATGTCATCTTATGAGGATGAAGCATATGACATAATGAGATCACTAGATGTGGATTATGTGTTAGTGGTATTTGGAGGTGTTACGGGCTATTCTTCTGATGATATTAACAAGTAAGGATTTAATTCTGTACTCCTATAAATAAGTAAGGATTTATTTTCTCTCTATGAAGATATTTGTCTCAATTTATTTTGATGCCTTTTACTATGTCTGAACAGGTCTTTGTTAGCATATCCAAATTCATTTTTTCATTTCATGTGGACAATTACTGAAACAAATATGGCCAAAGAAAAAAAAAGGGAGAACTTTGAAAACATGTACCAAAGTTTGTTGGATTTAATTGTAGATGGAAAGATCACTTTATTAGCAAAAAGTACAAAACTTTTATAAAGTTTTCATGAAATTCAAACTTCAAAATATTTGGACTATAACCCTGCTACAGATTAGGCTGAGGAAATTATTAAAGGGGAAGTTTGCCATATGCTAAATATCATTGTGGTGACCAAGTACTAGCGCCGCTGAAAAAAAATATTACATTGACATGCTTATAAGATACACCAGTGGCGACTGGAAAGATCACAACATTATTTTTGGCCAATGTGCCGGTATTTCAGTGCTTGCAAATAGAGTATTTGGTACTGTATACTGTGCAGTTGCTAGTTCTATTTATCTGAAGTAATCATTATCAATAAATCTGTATATTTTCTTTTACTGTTTTCGTTTTGGTCATTCTTTCTCTGGTTACCCTCTGCTTCATTCACAAATTGATTTAACTACTTTGGTGCTAGATTTTTGTGGATGGTAAGAATTGGAGGGGGAGTCTTTCCTGTGATCAAGGAACCTGATTACCTTGTTAATGGTGAATATCGTGTCGACAAAGGTGCAGCTCCAAAGATGTTGAACTGTTTAATGTAAGTTGATTTTTCCCACTTATTAGGTCGCTTATTTAAAATCTCATTGGTTCTAGTTGTATTATCTTTCATTTATTAATTTCCTTGACTAGTCCCAACCACTTATTATAGCAGACAGTTTTGTATGAGTGATTTATGTCTCTCGTTGGTCGGTTGAAAGATGGGAGCGTAGTTCTGACTTCTGAGAATGTAATTGTCTGTGCAAATAGTTCAAATTTATGTTTAAACCAACTTGTAGGTGTGAGATGCTTTCCACCCTGGATCAGATTAATTGTGTCAGGAGCTATTTGTAGTGTGCACAAACTTGTTTGCGGGTAAGATTCCCACCCACCCATCCAAACAATGACAACAAACACACAAACCGAAAATAACTCATCTAATCCCAACCACCCTTTGTGCCTTTAAGTCATGTAGGTGGGAATCTTCCAACTTAAATGAACTTAGCCTTATACCATGTGTAAATTGCAGTTTACTCGTACAGTTCTATTATCATTTATAACTTTCCAAAACCACAATTGCTGGCCTTAGTATCTGATATTTAACCTGGTTTCAGTATCTTGAGTTCATGCCAATCCCAGTTCCTTCGACTAGTGTCATTTAGTTTTGTCACTGTCAATGCAGCTTGCAGAGATATTTACAACTTTAGAGCCAACTGACAATCCTAATATTTCCTGCACATAAACCTATTTTGACCATTGTACAGCTAACAAATGCAAGAGTCCAAATGTATTTGAATGACTGAATGTTGAAAATGCTCCTTATCTAAATAGATTCATACCTTGGAAGTCTTATATTTGCAAAAAATAAATAAATAAATAAAAATAAAAATAAATGAAACAAAACCATGTATGAATCGTGATGCATCCGATCTTAAGGTTTAAAGTCTTTCTGTGATCAATAATTGTAGAACTGATATAGCTTCGGGCTTTTTGAAGAGCAAAGCAGCATGTAGGCAGTTGTTTTCTTGTACGCAGTACGTGCCTACGAGTTGTTAATCTGCATTAGTTCTCCACCAGTAAAAGTATGTTTGCTCAACTAACTGTGTTGAGTAATCATAGCTCAAACTACGCAAATTCAGCCTGCATTTTGTTATCCTGTATGATTTTCCGTTCATATATTCTTATATTTTGGCTGTAATAAATTGTGTAATTCTCTTTGATCTTTTAAGGCTTTTGGTTTCTCACTGAGAAATTTAGCTTACATGATATATGTTTTATATAGTATTTTTATGGAATGGTACTTGTCAATGAAAGTAAATACACATATTTGTTGTTTTGATGAGCGACTAGATTCAATTTTCTGAGCCATAATTTCAACTGTGACAATATTATTATTTGTTGTTTCGCTTCAGAGTTTAATTCAATTATGTTTCTATTAAGGTTTGGGGGTCCATCTTAAAAGGTCAACCTTGTTAAGAAGAGTAGCCCGAGATCTTTATTAATTGGTCTGTGTCAATATCTTTATTCAATGTGGGATTATATCCCTTAACACGTCCCCGCAAGATGGTGGCTCATTTGAGCAGACCAATCTTGAAATCCACTTGCTCACTTTTGGAGTCTTAACGGGATGAAATCGCTCGTTGGAGCATAATGGGCTCTGATACCATATTAAGATTTGGGGGTCCATCTTAAAAGGTCAACCTTGTTAAGAAGAGTAGCCCGAGATCTTTATTAATTGGTCTGTGTCAATATCTTTATTCAATGTGGGATTATATCCCTTAACAGTTTCTAACATTTGGAACATTGAGTGCTAATGAGCTGGATTGTGCACAACGCAGAGCCTCATTTTTTTATTTTTTGGCATGAATTCATTTGGTTATGTAAATTTATCATTCCCATTGGTTATTAGGTACAAGCTCTCTTACTACCGGTTTGGTGAGCTGACAACAGAATATGGCAAACCTCCTGGGTGAGTAAACTGTTTTCCTTCTCCATTTCTCTAATGATCTGTGAGAATTTTACTCTCTTCTCGTTTGTGTGAAGACATTTAAATCGTTTTCCTGTTAATGAATAATGAATACATAACATGAATGATACTTTTAACTCGGAGTCCTGCCAACATCTCTGCCCATATTTCAGTTGTGGTAAAGATCCTTATTTTCATCAAGAACTGAACATGGATTATAAGCTGAAGGCTACAGCAAAATTTCTCTTCCATATTAGACCTGCTAACACCTGAAATAGGCGATTGAACAATAATGGATTTTCGAATTTGTCCATCTTATTATTAATTTTGTGGAGCCCTCCATCGGCAGACCTGAATAAGTTTCACAAATCCCTTATAGATGGAAGTCTACTAGATTGATAGAAGACCATGCTTTTTTTTGGCAACAACTGGATGAATCAGTTAATGACTGAAAGCCTAATGCTGTGAAGCACACACTGACTCATCGAACACTCCAGATCATGTATCTGACAAGTCATATGTCGTGTCCTATATTTTTATGTACTTATAAAATTTTGACACCTTTGGATACTTAAGAGAAGACACTCATCAAGCAAGTGACCGACATGCCATGTGTCATCAGTCCTGTCCTATTAAAATGTATAAATAATATATCCATATAAAATTGTAAAGAATTTAAATTGACTAGTCTGGGTCCTATTTTGAAAAATTACGTGTCTCTCAGGTCTTGTGCTTAGAAAAGTATGTTAGGTGCGATCCTGTGTGGATTTTTGCTTTCTGGTGATGGTATATAGAGCAAAAGGGATTTGGTTGTCTCTTGGGATTTGTGAGATGTACTGTTATTTCAAGTCCTGAATTGCAGTCATTGATCTGCCACACGACTGGACTGCAGGTTGGCTTAGACAGGCAACAAAAATAGCTCTCTCAATATGCACCTAGTACATGGGAAGTCTTTCTATATGTAGGGAAAAAAGGAATTTTCTATTGCGACTGGCCCATTACTGGTTTGTTATATGTTAACATTTCAACCTAATATTTGTTTGAATGTTTCTCTGTGGTCTTATATTATGGACATATTTGAAATTTGCTGCATAATAATTTATAATCCTATTAGTAGAAGTTGGGGAAGGTGTGATTGCTATCCATTTCTCCATTAGTTTACAGTTGACTGTTTGGTTCTCTATTGTTATATCTGAACTTATCCAGAATAAACTGTTTCGTTATGACAGATACGATAGAGCAAGGGGGGTCGAAATAGGAAATAAAGACATAAAGCTTGAATACTTGGAAGAGGCATTTACCACGTCTAACTGGATAGTCAGAATTTACAAAGTCAAACCACCCAAGAATAGGTGGTGATTGACACCTTTCTTCCTATCTCTTCCCCTGCATGGACTCCTGACGTGAGAAGTGCCGAGTCTTGCATAAATTAGGTAGACGACTTTATTTTTTCCTTTTTTGTAACATTTAGGCCTCCAATTTTCCAGAATCCTCCATTTTGCAGATCTTATCGCATCACTCACTTGTATGATCAAAATTACTGAATTTCTGTTTGAAGTGTTGTGCGGATTCTTAACTTGTTTAAGAAATTAATAGCATTGAGTTATAAAAATCGTTGGACTGCCAAAATACAAATGTTCAAAATAGACATATTGGAATTGAAGTCCCCTTGTGTTGAATTTGAACATTTCTCTTCTACCCCTTTCAAAATAAGAGGATTTTAAAGCTCGGAGAGCGAAACAATCCCATCATAATCCAGATTCTAGCTACGACAAAAGGGTTCTTTAAAATCTATTTTGGAACGGTGATCACTCCAACCAATGAAAATCATAAGAGTAACAACGATATACTCCGAAGATTATCACACTAGGTAGTCAGATTAATCGGTAGCACTCCAAGCGTTAATAGTTCATTGAAATGAGTTCACGGAGTTCTTGTTGCACATCGTTCCTGTCTGTGAGATAGGCCAGAAAAAGAACGAGTGTAGTAGATGATACGTGCCACAAATGAAATGTGCTCATTTACTCTTATTCTGCACTCTTTCACCATTAATCTGCAAACTAGTAACTTTAAGTGACATCACATGGCCAGAAAACGGCATGACAGAAACAGAAACAGAAACTAAGCAGTCTTACGAAATTCTATAGGACAAGAACACTGCTCTTTCCTCATTTTACACATTTCCTCGAGCTGCACCCACGATTGCTGCACAAGGTACTGCTCACTACAATACTATTAAACTATCTTGCCTTCATAATCAGAACGGCCCAGTGAACCAACATTAGATAGAAGCATTATTATAAAATGCATCTGAAGCTCATTCAAGGCACTCTTTATGTAAGGCATTTACTAAGCACTTCAAAGCTGTATCAAGGCTCGATTTACCGAGGCGTACAACCCAAGGCACAGGCCACGTTTTTTTGAGGCGTGCACTCACTGTCTTATCCTTGGCCACACAATAACTGTGAGTATACATATAATTTCAGTTATACTCTCACATCAGCCTTTAATATCAAACATTGAGATCAAGAAACAAAAAGAAAATCAAATTAGAAGCTACAAGTTAGTTCTGGGCCTTTTGGCAATATTATCTGTATGTTTCTACGGCAGCACTTGCCTTCCGGTTAGAGTAGAAGCTTCTAGGAACTGTACTGACATGAACTCTTACCATCCCAAATTTTCATCAAGCCTAATAAATTTTCCCTCAGACCCAGAACTTCAGAACACTCTAAATAGTTACACAGCCTACCTGTTCTTGGGTACCATTTAGAGTATGCCGGACAACTTCTGAAAATTATTATTTGAACATGTTAGATATTTAAACCCTTCCTCAGATCCATATGAATCTTGAAAAATATTATGGCTCAATAACTCCAACATTTTAAAAAATATATATATTATGTAATTTTTGAAAAATTAAAAAGCTGCAATAGGCTGTTATATTTCTAAATAGAATAAATTCCTGCTCGACATAAATCATCGAGAATCACTGTAAATGTATTACATTCGCCTCACATTCATGTCCTTTTTCTGTTGTTAAGTGAACAGACAATTATCGCATCAGGTACTAAAAGCTTCACACATTAATGTTTTATCTCCTCAGCTTGCCGAGGAGATAAAGAACAAAATTGGAAATGGAACAACTAACACCTATGTGCTACAAAGATACCAGGAGATATGATATCAAATATGCTAATTTTTTTACATCCAACTTAGACTAGAGAAGAGTTTTTCCTCAATTTGCCTGATGATCATTAATGTCAAGCTTCATTTCATTTACACTAAAGAACATTTCAGAGGTTACTACTGGCTGGATTCATTAAGTAACAAGATAGAGAAGAAAAAAAATACATTTACATATGGCAGTTTAAATATTAAACAGATTTCGGAACATTATTGTAGACATAATCTTAAATTTCATTTGTAGTCAGGCTTCATTTTAGATTGGAAATAATCTCGTATCCACCATGTTCTAGCAAAGCTAAATTTGAAATCATGCATTGTAAAACTTTGACCTTCGTATAGGCACATCAGGGGTGCACCTAGGGTGTAAAGAACAAAACTCTCCAGATCAACAAAAGCCACAAGCACAATAGCGCGATTCTATCGGGGCTTGATTTCATATCTATCGGTCAAATGACTCGATTGCGGAAATGATTCTATCAAAGAAGCCCATTATCCCGAACTTTCGTCGGCCAACACAACGTACTAATCTTATATGACCAGTGAACCTCTAAGCCGTTGCCACTCTTTAAGTTGTTAAGAGCACTTAAGAGTGACATGGTGGAGCTAAGAGATAAGATGGCTCTGGTTATTACTACTCTTTGTTCAACCTTCCTCCACTGCTCTCTTCTTCTTTGTCAAGATTTATAAACATGGGGGCAGTGGGGTTGGGGTCAACAGTCTCCCACTATGATTTCAAAAATCGAGTTTTCTACATAGAAAAAATTTAATTGTATAATTTTGTCCTCAGAAAAAATATAATTGGTAACTTTAGAATAATATAAATACTGTCTAGATATCAATTGTTGGTTGGGTAAACTCAGGTTCAAATCCAATTTGCACGTTATATTTCTCTTTATTTTATCTTTTTGAGAAATTCGTGCAATTAGTCCTCAACCTTTAGCGTCTCTAGCAAATTCTTTCCCACCAACCCAAAATTGATTAGGTTTTTCTTAATAAAGTTTTTTAATAGAATAATTAGTTTTATTGTTTTCTTCAAATACCACTTTCTACAAGATGCCACTACGTCATCAACTACTTTAAGAAGTGTAGGTCACCATAGCGTTATCGGTGTTGCAGCACCATCGTGACCGTGATGTCCCCACAAGCTAAGAAACCTAGCTCCACCCCTGTTTAAAAAGGAGGTTAGTAGGGTGAGGTTCATGTTGAGATCAGGCCAAGTTCTCGCCAGGTACATTTCATTAATTTCAAATGGAAAGATTCCATGCAACTGAATACAAATGTCCAAGTGTCCCAATTGATCAATATGGAATTATGTACTGAGGAGAGGATTAGAGTCTGATTTCCACATGTAATTCATGACATTGGAATCGTGCAAATAGAAAGCTCACATGGGTTCTTATATGAAGATGCCACTAGGTAATTATCACACAATGTACACTATCTAATCTTACCTTTCTTGACTTGTTTCTAGTCACAACCAAAAGATTCAGTCCGCATGGCAATTTGACATCATATTTATTAGCTTGACCTTAACTATGATAATACAAGACAATCAGAGAAAAAAAAAGTATCACTGCCACAGTGAACAAAGCTTAATCTTGAAATGCTCATTATGGCTAATATTGAGATAATTACAACACAAACAACTTTAAACCATGCACAATGGAGGTGGAGAAATACACATATCCTGATAGGATCGTTAATTCAAATTTCAAAAAACTTTTTATCAACAAACATTTTCAATCACCGCAAATGTAAACCAGACCACACTATGTAGTCAGACATGTTCAAGAGTAGAAAACCAGGTAGCAGTGTATAAAAAAACCATCCTCCACCCTCTAAAACCTAAAGATAGTTTTTCACACTAAAAGTTAACCATGATGCAAGGTAAGTAAATAACATTTCCTTATGGTAACTTAACTTACTCTTCATTTCCTTTAACAGTATCAAGCACATTGCATTTTGTACAAGAGAAGTAACTAAATAGACAATAAAGCTAAAGAAAAAGATTTAAAGCCGCAGAACCAACATACTTTACCCGAGGTCGTCTCTCACTTGCCCCCCTCCTCCAGAACCCACATTTGGTCCTCCACTGTTATTGTTGCAGTTGTTCTCTCTGTCGCTGTTATTGTTGCTGTTGTTCCCTCCATCATTACGCCCAGCTCCTCCACTGTTGCTTGTCTCAGCAGAAGAATCCAACCCTCTCAAAAGCCACGGTAATGGTATGCTAAACCTCCTCTCTATTGTTCTCGGTGTTGGAACATTAGTATTATTTCCTATCTGCTCCCCACCACTCAACTCCAAGCCTGAATTATTATTATTATTACTACTACTGCTGCTATCATTAGTATTGGACTGTCCCATTTTCCGAATTTCATAGTCCGGATCATCAGTGGGCAACTCATATCGACAAACTGGGCAAGAATTATGCAACTCAAGCCACGGCAAGATACAATCTTTATGGTAAATATGTTTACATGGCATCTGCTTCGCCGCCTCATCTAACTCAAAGCTGTTCTTACACACGGCACACTGGGATGACTCTGAGCCCAGCATCTCCTCCATGATCTTTATATCCGGCAACCCCTCCATTGCAGATTTCGATGCAGGCGGTGTCCCATACCTGTTGGGATCATTCTCGGCGAGTTGCTGAATTAATTGTTCTAAATCTGGTCCAATAAAATAATCACCGAGATTCGTTGGAAGCTGGAAATCCACTCCTTCCCCATCAGGACCTTCAAAAACAAGCTGAACACTCGCACCGTGGCCTCGGAGGTTGCTGATGTAGTTGTTTAGAAAGGTAAATGGGTCGAATTCGTTGGGAGATCGACCCGGACGGTGATTGCCGCCACTGCCTAAGAAGGTGGATAGGTCTTCAAGTCCTATTCCGGCGGGAAAGGAGGCACCACCGGAGGCAGCAGTGGTCGAAGATGAGGAGAAGACGAAAGGGAAGCTGCCAAAAGCCGCGGCGGGAGGGAAATTACCAGAGAAAAAAGAATTATTGATGTCATCAATGTCGGAAGTGGTAAGGTTTGAGGGCGGGGCGGTGTGGGATTCTTCAAGAAATCCGTCGTTGCAATTAGGGCAATTCAGTTCACCGGTGGTTGAGTGTGCGATAGTAACAGTGCGCTCACATTGGTAGCAGTAGTATTCTCGCGTGTCACCTCCTCCTTCTCCGCCTCCGCTAGAAGGACTGTCCACGGACGACATCTAAGTATATGTGTTATATATTAAGAAAATTTGGGGAGAAAATGTAACAATATTACAGAGTGAGGGAGAAGATGAAGAGTTTGAAGTCTGAATCCTATCCTATCCTCTCCCGTTAAATTCGGTGCAATGATTAAAGATATGTCGTACTAAGAATTTCAAACTGGAACATAAATTTTGTGTAAAATTTAAGGACATGGTTTGAGATGCTATACATTTATGCTTGATTTTTTTTGTTTATTATGTTTGTTTTTCAATTTCCAGAATCTTCTATTGGATTGAACCTAGGGTTCGATTGACCCGATCAAAACTCGATTAAATTGTCGATTTTTGGATTGGACTGATTGATCAATTTGATCCGAGTTCAAAAGGTAAATGAAATATTAGTTGCCAAATGTGTATATCTATCATTTTCATTATTTTCAAATATTTTTGCAAAAATATATTATAGTCCAGCTCTTATTATATATAAATTGAATATTCAAGCATCGAACACATTATTAGCTTTGTTATCAAATAATTATTTTGTGAATTTGTTATTTATAGATAAATTATTTTTAGCTAAAATAGATTGAATACTTTAATTAACACAAAAGAGTGTTCGATCGATAATATATAAAATATTTGTACATAACAAAAGTGAGAAAAATATAAATATATTACAAATTCCATATTATACAAAATTATGAAATTAAATTATACACATTATACAACAAATAGGTTTATAATATTAATAATTTATAGACATAAAAGTAATTAATGACAAATAACTTACAAATTTTAATTGTATAAAGAGAAAATACTATACTAAAAAATTCTGAAATAATTTTCTAAGCATTGACTTGTTACCCGATGACTCGCCCGATAAGGCTTCATATTTCACCACAAAGATTGAAATTAGCCCAAGTTTTGTGGATTACAGTGTTTAACAGGCCCAATTAACACTCACGTTAAGTTCGCTTATGACTTTGGGCTTATTCTGGCCCATTTCTCCTACATACTCAATTCACCGTAGGCTATATATATATACTAGGTGCAAGTAACGTGCAATGCACATTTGCCTAGTTTATATTTAATAGTTTTGCTTAATAATTAATTTGTTATTAATAAAGATATAAATTTTTTGGTTAATTAAATAATTAATGTTGTAATGTTTATGTAATTGTTAAATAATTAGATATGTGATTGTGATGTTGTGATGTAAGTTGGTGAGATCGAAGAAAATAAGCAAAAGTTGACAAATTTGGAGAAATTGCTAAATTGTAAGGGATCCAAAGTTCGGAGACTAAAATGTAAATACTTAAAAGTTGTGCCGAACCTCACGATGAAGATTTGAGAGTGCTCGGAGTCAATTGGATAAAGGAAGACGTCAATGGAATCAAATTTAGTCAAAAGATGATCACAAATCAATTTCCAACCGAAAAGTTATGCTCCGATATTTTAGTCTCATATTGAGACCTATTTTTGGCATAGAAAGTGATCGAATTAGAGAATGATGTCTGAATCAAAGTTGTAGCCAAATGAGTTAGCCTTCCAACACATTTTGAATTATCTCAATCGGATATCGGAATACAAAGTTATGATAAAAATATTGAAAGAAGGTGCAGCTGCATGTTTAAAACAAGAAATTCAGTTACATAATCCGTTAAAATAACAAATTCCATTAGTTTTTCCGTTAAAAACAAGAAATTCCAATACATAGCCACTTTTAATATATAGAAGATATATATGGGGAAATTACACAAAACCAGAATTTTAAAGTTACAATTTCAAATTTACAAGTTTTTATTTCAAAAATCATATATTAATTCAAATATTTAATATTATTAATACCACTAAAATTCATCACAATCCATAATTAATTTCCCCTCTCATTTCTCTCTCTATACCTATCTCTCTCTTTTTCTCACGGCAGTCGGCGTCCAACTCTTTCAACCGTCGCGGTGCAACTCTCTCTCTCTCTTTCTCACGGCAGTCGGCATCCTCCTCTCTACCCGTCGCAGCGCAGCAGAACCGCCGCACAGATCTGCTACTCTGTGCCGATCTGCTCCTCTTGCAGCGGTACTGTGCGACTGTCAAGCACAGCGCAGCATCATCGCTACAAGCCGTGCGACGGTCGCGGCATGCTTGCGGTGGTGTCGCTCTGGTGTGTGCGGTGACGATGTTGGTGGTGGTGCGGTGAGTGGCGATTGGGTACAGCGACGATGGTTTTGGGGTTTTGGGTTTCTTCCTCCGATCTGCTTTGTCGGAGCTTTAGGGGTGCTTGCTAGTGGAGGTTGAGTACAGCGGCGATGGTTTTGGGGTTTTGATTTTGGGGTTTTTGGGTTGGTTTCTTCCTCCGATCTACTTTGTCAGAGCTTTAGGGGTGTTCGCCAGTGTTTTTTGTGATTTTGAGTAGTAGCGGTGTCGGCCTTTTTGTAAGGTGGTAGCATTACCGGCCTTTTGGGGTTCTTTTTCTGTTTCTGTTTGTTACATGTTGAAAGACAGTGTTGACGGTGATGTTGGTAACTGTGGAGGTGGTGGTGTAGTGATTGAGGGTGGGATGGTGTGGTTTTTGGGTTTTTTATTTTTAATTTTTTATGGTGGTGTTGGTTGTGGTGTATTGAGGCAGGTGCAAGTGGAGAACATAATAGGTTTGAGGAGATGGTGGCAGCGACAGCGATGGTTGGTACAGACAGTAGTGGTGGTTGTTACAGGCAATCGTCGTGGTGGTGTTGGTTGTCATCATCGTCATTGCAGTGGCAATGGTGATGTTATGGTGGTCACAAATTGTTTTGTTGATTGTGATCATTAAATTGGTCGGTGGGTAATCAATGAAAAAGATAAATTGTGACCAAAACAATTGTTAATATGTGATTGATAATTTGAAATTTTGTGATCGTTTCATAAGTTGTTACTTATAATACTTGTGATTTGTGACCGATAAATAAATTGTGATTTATAAATTTTTTATTTGTAACCGATGAACAAATTGCGACTAATAAATTTTTTGAATTGTAACCGTAATAGAATTTGTGACATATAAAATTTGTGATTTATGATTTGTGATCAATGAATAATATGTAACTTATTAATTTTATAAATTTGTAATCGATGAAAAATTGTGACCTATAAAATTTTCGATTTGTCATTGTGAAATAATTTTTGACCTATAAAATTTTTTATTGTGCCCGAAAAATAATTTGTGACTAATTCATTTATAATTTGTGATCAAATTATATAGAATTATGATCTTAATATATTTAATTCATAAAATATATGTTAGATTAATTAATTTATAAATAAAATTTTAAAAAAAATCTGATTTATGATATTTTAAACCTTATGTTCTTAAATTTGAAATGTGTGAAACCTAATCTCTAATTTATGAATTTTTCCCTTTTATTTATTTTATCATTTCAAATTATAAACTTTAATTTTATCTTATGCAATTAAACAAAATTACAAAATAAAAAAAAATTGTAATTAAAGTCTCTACCTCTCTTTCGGAAGAAAATGAAGAAGAATCCTAGCCCTCACATTTAAGTCACCTCTCATCTCTAGCCATCGTCATCTTCATCACTTCATTTGCTTCTTGAGTCTCTCACATCAACTAAAGCTTCAAATCTTTCTACTTCTACAATGTATTAAAATGGATGGAAGGCAATCACTGTAGCGACCGAGAACTTTTAAATAATATAAAATTAGTTTTCTTGAAAAACGTGTCGCTCGACTTTAACCTTAATTTTAAAGAGAAAGCGCGTTC